TGCCATATTCAAAGAACAGCAAGGTGGTGAATGTGGCAAAGTGCTATACAGGTACGTGACAGGACATGAAATCAGAGAGGCAGCAGGGGGCGCCTCAAATAAACTCTGAAGACTATGGAAAGGACTTTGGTAAAATGGGAAGTTAAATGTACAAAGAAAAAAGGATTATGCCCACCACATGAAGGCTATCAAGAGGTGGGCTTGTTATCCTAACAAACAGCATTGTTATCTTAAGCTCTTACCTCTCAACCATCAAGTAGACTGTATTTCAAACTGCCAAGAACTCAATCATTTAAAAAGTATTTGAGCTGGCACTGCCTCAGCACAGGCAAAGGGAAAAGGAAATGGAAGGAAGAGAGTAATGTGGAGGGGGAAAAAACAGTCTGCTAAAGCACATATTAAGTATTCAAAAGACCCTGGACCTCTCTTTCCTTTCCTATCAATGTTGTTTGTAACTTCAAGATTTTACTGTTGTTTTTAGGCTCAGTTGAGTCAGTCCCAACTCAAAGCAGCCCTATGTACAACAGAAAACACTGCCCTGTATTACACCATCCTCAGAACTGTTGCAATGTTGGAGCCCATTGTGGCCCACTGGTCAATCCATCCTCATTGAGAATCTTTCTCATTTTCCCTGACTTTATTTTATTTATCAATCATAATGTCCTTTTCAAGGGATCGGGCACTCATGAAAATATGCCCAGAGCCTGTTAGACAAAATCTCACCACCCTGACTTTTAAGAAGCATCTGGCTGTATGCTGCCAAAGACAGATCTGCTTGTTCTTTTAGCAGTCCGTTCAATATTCTTTACCAACACCACAATTCGAGTATCAACTCTCAAGTCTTCTTCACTGTACAGCTTTCACATGCACATGAAACTAGTGAAGACACTATGGCTTGGGTCAGGTCCACCTTATTCCTCAATGTGAAACCTTTGCTCTTGAACACTGTACAAAGAGGTACTGTGCAGAAAATTGTCCCACTGCAATTTCCATTCTTCACAATGTTATCCATAGTTTGTTATAATTTATACATTCGAATGCCTTTTGCGTAGTCAATAAAACACAAGTAAACATCTTTTTAGTCTTCTGTTTTGCACCAAAATACATCTAATGTCAGCAATGACGTCCCTTGTGCCAAATTCTTTTCTGAATTGGCTTGACTTTCTGTCAGCTCCCTGTCAATGTACTACTGCTACAATATTTTTTGAATGATCTTCAGCAAAATTTTATTTGCATGTGACATTAATGATATTATTTACTAATTTCCACATTCTGCTAGTTACCTTTCAAGACTTTACTAGGAAGTTTTAAATGTAAAATGTTTAAATATTTAGTTAAAAGGCTGTAATAATTACCTTTTTGTAAAAAGACATCAAGCTGATCGGCACAAAAGGCTTTCAATTCTTTCTCAGGTTTGTCCTTCTTGACCAGTGCAACAACATAGTTGGCTAAGGCTGATGGGTCAGCATCACATCTAGTTAGACAAAGAGAAAACAAAACTTAAAAAATATATATATATGGTGTTATTAAGTCATCTCTATTCTGGAAAGCAAAAGGTAAAGATTTTTTATTTTAAAAAGTGACTGCACACATAGATTAACTATTGCAAATGGCATAAACTCAAGGGGAGATTCTCCTGTTTATTTCTACAAAATAGATCATTGATTCCCATTTTGTGGTTTAATTATACTAAGGTCCTGGTGTACAAAAATCTACACTTATTTGTTCTGGGAATGGTAAAGGAAACAGGAGACAACTAACCTCAAAGTTGCTTTCAGACTCCCAACCTGCAGAAGCACTGTCAGAATAATGACAGCTGCTCCAGTGAGGAAGAGGGGAGTGATGGGACAGCTCTCCTCTCTCTTCTGTCCCTGACCCACCCTTGCCCCCACTGAGACCCCCCCCACCACTCAAAGTTGACATTGCACCCCACCATTAATCTACTAAATGAGTACCGTAAGGATCTTGTTAAAAAGAAGAACACAAGAGGGACTGTGCCGTAAATAAAGAATGTGCAGATAAGAATAGGGGGTAAGAATAGAAGTAAAGTTGTAGGAGGATGGCAGACATCATCTTTTATCTACTTCACATGTTTTTTTCAGTCAGTAGTAGCCTGACCTTGACACAGAAAACTATTTTCTATGCCAGGACATCACATGATCCTTGAGTTATCAACTCCTGACTTACAGCAAAATCTGTCACCCTTAACTTTTATCCATGTCATACAGAGTTTTCATGTTTTAAATACATATTTTTTATACTCTTGATCATCTGTTACCAAACTTACTTATCTACCTACTCTCTTTTCAGGGGGAAAAAATGACTGAGTGCCGATGGCAATTAAAAAAAATTGTACTGAATTGAAGACCACAAGGACTAAGGAAGCCGTTGACCTTGGTGGAAAATCTGACATGAGTTCCAGAGTCCTAAGAGGGCAGGATTTTGGCTGGGGCAGAGAACACACTTCAGCCATTATGCTGGTGGTAACTGCAGAAGTGATTTTGAGAAGATTGATTTTTCAGTGGCAACACGTTCCTGGCCATCGAGGGATCAAAGGCAATGAAGAAGCTAGAAAATATTATTTCATTTCCATTAGAGATTAACCTTCTCTTTCGGAGTTATACTTGTTGATGTCAAATTCCAAAGTTTTTCTTCCCTTTTTCTCACGGCCATGTCCTTATTAAACGGTTTTCTCCATTTTGTTTCTACCTTTTTGTAACAATTGATATTAATATCTTTATAGATTAGTAAAAATATACTTTCCAAAAAACAACCCCAAACAATCTGTACTATAGGCCATAATCCAGGATAAAATACAGGTATCTGCTTTTGCAAACCTCCTGGATCATTCACTTTGGGAAACACTACTCTAGATCTCTCTGTGAAGGCACAGTTAAGTAATACATAGGGTTACTGTGAATGCGCAGATAGTAAATGAAAACATGTAAGTAATGTGATCCTGTCCCAATAAAAAACACTATCAAACAATGAATCTAATGCCATAACCTTTGGCTTTCACTATCAACTAGATAATTAAAGAAGTTTGGCTCTTGATTATCAATCATATACTGAACAATTTTATGAGATTAGTAAGCAAAAGAAAATTCAAGGAACACTCCAAAAAACTCAAACTCATTGCCATAAAGCTGATTCCAACCTTATTGGACAGAGTAGAACTGCCCTAGGGGTTTCAGAGATTGTAATTCTTTATGAAGTACAAAGGTTATCTTTCTCCTATTATCATGGCTGGTGGTTTTGAACTGACCTTACACTTAGCAGCTCAACATTTAACCCATTATGCAACCAGTGCTCTCCAATCAACAATAGAGCCTCAATTCCTTGTATGCTACACTTTGCAAGTTGATAATTCAATAATCTCTTTTCTATTGCCAACATAGGCCATTTTTGTGGGAAAGGCTGATTTCATTAAAAATCATTATTGATTTTATGCCCAAAACTCTAAAAGAGAGCATTTCTGGGGGTTTTTTGCTTTGTTTTTGATGTTTTGAAAAGACACCAATGATCAGGTACCTGATTTTTATTACATAAGTATATCATGACAGAAGAAAAGTTACAGGCACCACGATAATAGAAACACATTTCATCCATGAATTCAGCCAAGGACCAACTAGACGCTCTCTGAGGATCTGACAGTTCAAAACTAGCACAAAGACCCCAAGCTAATGGGTGATGATCTTATCTTACAATGGAGGCCAGAGAGGTTGAGTGGTGTCTGCATTCCTCCTAGTGCTGTCAGAACGGATGCTCTGTGAACTTTTTCTTTTTAATCACTTTATTGGGGACTTGTACGACTCATCACAATCCATATCCATTCATTGTGTCAAGCACATTTGTACATTTGTTGCCATCATCATTCTCAAAACATTTTCTTTTTACTTGAGCCCTTGGTATCAACTCATTTTTTCTGTCCCTTCCCCAACCCCCCTCCGTCCTGAACCCTTGATAATTTATAAATTATTATTATTTCATGTCTTACACTGACCGATGTCTCCCTTCACCCAGTTTCCTGTTGTCTGTCCCCCTGGGAGGAGGTGGTTCCCCCTTTCTCCTCCCACCTTCTCCTTCCTGGTATCACTACTCTCAATATGGGTCCTGAGGGTTTTACAGGTCCTGGATTCCTGTGTTTCCAGCTCTTATCTGTACCCGTGCACATGCTCTGGTCTAAGCATCTATAAGGTAGAATGGGGTCATGGTAGTGGGGAGGGAGGGGGGGGGTGAGAAGCATTAAGGAACTAGAGGAAAGTTGTATGTTTCAACGGTGCTATACTATACCCTGACTGGCTTATCTCTTCCTTGTGACCCTTCTGTAAGGGGATGTCCAATTGTCTACAAAGGGCTTTATGTCTCGACTCGGCAATCCCCCTCATTTACATGATAGAATTTTTTACTCTGGGTCTTTCATGCCTGATACCTGATCCTATCAACACCTCATTATCACACAGTGTGGTGTGCTTCTTCCATGTGGGCTTTTTTGCTTCTCAGCTAGAGAGCCGCTTGTTTATCTTCAAGGCTTTAAGACCCTAGATGCTGTATCTTTTGATAGCCAGGCACCATCAGCTTTCTGAACCACATTTGTTTATGCATCCATTTTGTCTTCAATAATCGTGTCGGGAAGGTTATTAGAACAAAGTGTTTTTGTGTTGAGGGAGTACTTGAGTAGAGACCCAATGTCGGTCTGGTATCTTTTTTTTAAATCATTTTATTAGGGGCACATACAACTCTTATCACAATCCATACACACATCAATTGTGTAAAGCGCATTTGTACGTTCATTACCCTCATCATTCTAAAAATATTTCCTCTCCTCGTCTGCTATCTTAATACTAAACCTATAAATATATGTACACAGATCTATATCCTTACTGTATAATCAAATATATTTACATATGTAAACTCCTGTATTTAGACCTCTGTAAATGCCCTTTGCCTCCTAGTTCTTTCCTCCATTTCCTAAAAGAACCCATTTCAATGACTGTCAACTTTTTACAAGGCTACTTAAAAAAAGAAATTACAATCATCGGTCAAAATGTACTAGGAGATAGTATAAAGATTTGTTATGCAAAAAATACAAATTACATTTTAGAATATTACAGTAAGTCATTTAATAAGTTCAATGGCAAACTCCTAAATTAGATATACATGAAAAAAAGTTACATCTGCTATATCCACTCTGTCTATTGTATATTTATAATCTATAAATGGAAAGGTAGAATCTTAAATTCACCCTGAGAACAATAGGAAATTTAATCAGTGTTGTTCTAATTAACATTTATATGCAGGGAAAAAGCAAAACCAAAAACAAACACACACCACTTCTATATTTACTTAGAACTAGAATTTCCAGTTCCTGGGTAAGGAGGAGATTTTGGCACTGAGAATATTTTTTTAAAATAAGTAAGAATGGCAGGAAGATATTTTATTCTCTAGTGTGATCAGAACTTTCAAGGATTCTCATGACCTAATAGCTATAAAGCTGGGCAAAGATACGAAGTTTCCAGTAAGAAACAGAAAAACAATCAGAATACTGGTTATGTGGCGTGCACTAAGCAAATCCAGGCATCTAATGGTGACAATGTGGTTATACACTGGTCAGCAGTTTGTAACAATCAAATGTTCCACAGGAGAAAAAAATGGAGGCTTTCTACTCTAAAGAGGCTCTGAAAGCTACAGGAGTTTCAATGGGATGGAAGTGAGTAGCAACAATACAAACCAAAACTCACTGCCACTCAGTTAAGTCCAACTCATAGTTACCCTATAGGGCAGTGGAGAAACAGCCTCGAGTGTCCAAGACTGACTGTTTAAGAGTGAAAGCTTCATCACTCTCCCCAAGAGCTGCTGGTAATTCCATACTGCTGACCTTTCAGATCGCAGCCCAAAGCATAACCACTACACCACCAAGGCTCCTGAGTAGGAATAATACATTTAGTCCTCAAACTATGAAAAGAACTGCAGAGATAGGCTCCTTCTCAAGAAATACACATTGATGTGATAATGCTTTAAAACAAGATTCACAGTTACAGCAAAGTACAGAAAGGGTAAACACCAAGAAAAAGAATGATCCCAGATTTCTGCCCCCAATACAAAAGCATCTTTACATTCAAAAGCACATGTTTTAATGTAGGAAGCATCAAATGAAAATGAAAGAGTCACTACCAAAAAGGACTGGTGATATATAGTCAGTATTGCCCTCTCTTATGTGATGTACCATAATTCTAGATGGGAGTTCTCTGCTTTACAAACAGAGGGGATTAAAGTGGGTTAAATCATGACCTTAGTAGAAGGTGGGAGTTAATATCCTTCGTCTTCCTTGGGAATATCATTGGCTAAAATGTAAAAGCCATTCCTCCATCAAAGCCATTCCTCTGTGCGTAAGAGCCATCTGAGAGAAAGGAAGAGAAATCCCAGGATCCTCAGAAGGGCCTGTTCCAGATCTGTCTGAAGTGTGGGGAGTTA